ATCTGTGTATGTCTGTGTGTATCTGTATGTCTGTATGTACCTGTATGTCTGTGTGTATCTGTGTATGTCTGTGTGTATCTGTATGTCTGTATGTACCTGTATGTCTGTGTGTATCTGTATGTACCTGTATGTCTGTGTGTATCTGTGTATGTCTGTGTGTATCTGTATGTCTGTGTGTACCTGTATATCTGTATGTACCTGTATATCTGTGTGTACCTGTATGTCTGTGTGTATCTGTATGTCTGTGTGTACCTGTATGTCTGTGTGTATCTGTATGTCTGTGTGTATCTGTATGTCTGTATGTACCTGTATGTCTGTGTGTATCTGTGTATGTCTGTGTGAATGTGTGTCTGTGTGCATGCGTGTGCATACGTGGAAGGGTGGAAGGCGTGTGGAGGGCCACACCCCTGTGTGCATGTGAACATGTGCACATGACGGAGAGCATGTCAGGGGGACCTGTGTGTGTGTAAGTCTGTGTAGAGGGGCATCACATGGACCCTCTGGGGAGGAGGGTCTGCACCCTTCCTTGGCCACCACAGTGGAGGTGCAGTTGCTCCCTGCCTGGCTCCCACCCGCCCTCTCACTGGGGGGCGGGGTCTCAGAAGCCCTGCCCTGTGAGCCCTGGGCACTGGGGCACTCACTGTGGCTGCTTGACTTATACTTGGCCCCTCCTCTGAGGCAGGACTGCATCCCTCTGGGCTTGCTGGACGGCCCTTCCTGGTCTCCAGCTTTTGGGCCTCCAAGTGTCCAGTCCTTGCTCCGTCCGCACGTGCCTTCTGCGTGCCCTGTGGGGACACTTGTCACTGGTACAGGTCCACGCCCCTCAGCCCTGGTGGAACAGAGGGAAAGCGCTCGATGGGGAGATAAATGGTGTGGGTGCAAACCCTCCCAGGGCACTTCACACACAGGCCGGCTGTCTGCATCCCAAAGCCGAAGCCCAGACCCCTGGGAGCTGCTCCTTGCTCCCCACCGGGGTCTCCGGGAGACGGAATCAGGTCCATAGGGACCCCATGCCAGAGAGTTGCACCTGCACAGAAGTCAGGAGGCCTGGCCACAGCTCCCTACAATCCCACCCGCCGCCCCAGCTCTGCGAGCCTGGTGACTGGGGACCCTGGGAACAGCGCATGCTCTAGGAGGCTCTGGTGGCCCCTCCAGCCGCTGACCGCGCCTGTCAATTGCCTGCAGCCATGTTCTTCCTGGGGCTTCTGGGGGTTAGCATGCCCCCCCCACAACGACCCTCTGCAGGGGACAGGGTGCTGGGACATCCCAGAGGGGAAACCTCTAGCTGACAAACGGGGTTCTGGGAAGACGTGGCTTTTCCGCCCGCTGGCTCCTCTGAGACCCCCTCAGGGCTGCCCTGTGCCACAGGCTAAAGGCAGGTGGGAGAGCTGATTGCTGGCCCCCAGCACCTGCCCAGCCACACTGCAGGCTCTGGGGAAGGAGCCAGGGCCCGCGGCCACCATGGTCGGTGTGCTGTCTGCCCTCTGCCTGCCTCCAGCCAGGCGTCCTTCCGGGACCTTTTCGGTCTCTTTGGAGGCTGCTGGCCCTGGGCTGCTCAGGAGCTCTTGGACAGCACCCCTCTTCCTGGCATTGGGTCTCTGGGTGGTGGGCAGGGTGAGCTCCCCCCAGGAGTGGCAAGGCAGGTGGGTCTGCCCGCAATTCTGGACATAGCTGATCCCTGTGTGCCAGGCTGCTGTGCAAATGGACATGCTCGGGCAGGGTCCCCAGTGCTCCTGCTGCCCCCCCAGGATGGTGGGAGTGGAGTCTCCTGGAAGCTTGGGGGGGGACCCTGAGGATCCACAGAGCTGGGGGAGATGCCTGCCATCCACCCCGCCCCCAGCAGCCTGCTCTCTATGCGTGTCAGGGTGAAGCTGTGTCCGCAGACCTGGTTCCTCCGGGCCCCAAGAACCCCAGGCGAGACTACGTCTGCTCCAGACCGGGCAGCAGCACCTGACCGGGGGTGGGGGTGGGGGGGGATACCGTGCCTGGAGAAGGTGCGCGGAAATTGTGAATGAGCGAGTGAGCGAGTGATTGAATAAGGGAGTGAAGGAATGAATGTGTGAGTGAGCGATTGAGTAAAGCAATGGGTGAATGAACAACAGAGTAACTGAATGACTGAAAGAATGAGTGAATCCATGAATGACTGAATTTGAATGAATGAGTGATAAGTGAGGGAACCATTGAGTGAGTGAGTGAATGAGTGATGAGTGGGTAAATGGTTGAATGAGTGAGTGAAACAATGATGAGACAGTGATGAGTCAGTGAGTGTGGTGAACGAGTGAGTGGGTGAGTGGGTGAGTGGGTGAGTGAATGAATGAGTGGGTGAGTGAATGAATGAGTGGGTGAATGAATGAATGAGTGAATGAGTGAGAGAGTGAATGAGCAAATCAGGGAATGGATGAGTGAGTGGATGAGTGAGTGGGTGCATGAGTGGATGAGTGAGTGGGTGAGTGAGTGGATGAGTGAGTGAATGAATAAGTGGGTGAGTGAGTGAGGGAGTGGGTGAATGAATGAATGAGTGGGTGAGTGAGTGAACGAGAGAGTGGGTGAGTGAGTGGGTTTGGAGTGCATGAACTACTGAGCCAGGGATGAGTGCGTGTACACAGCCACATGCTGCCATGCTGGCCATCCTCGCCCTGGCCATCCTGGCAGCTGGGGGCAGAGGTGGCGTTTCTCTGTCTGCGTCCCTCACAGAGGCCCATCACCACCCACCAGTGGGCAGCATGGCCCAGCTCGAGCCTACCCTGCAGCTGTTCCTGCTGGAGGTAGCTCTGTTCTCCAGCACGTTCTGGTCACCCACCCGGAGGCCAGCACGGTCTGGCAGGACTTCAGTTTCTAGACTGAAACGTGAAGACCGGTACTGCTGGCCAGGAGCACCCGCTGGGGTGGTGCGATGCCTGAGCTGTGACCTGCCGGGCAGGAGCCACCAGCCAGTCGCATGGGACCAGTGTGACCTGGATGGAATGTGATATTTTGTTCACGTTAAGTGAAATCGCAAACAACCCATGTGACTGCCATGTTGGGGGCACTACCCTCCCCAACCCAGGGCTCTCCCACTCATGATGCAGGGTCCCATCTCCCCTGGGTCCCAGACCCATATCTGAATCAGCACCCTGATCGCAAGTACTTTGAAGAGTAGGGCTGGATTCTTGAGGCTCCTTAGTGTTGCTTGAGGGGCTGGCACCCCGACTCCTTAGGGCTGCTCTACCCATCTCTGACCTGCACTCGGGACACAAGGTCACCATGCTGAGTCACCGCAGAGTCCAGCGCTTGGAGACACGGAGTTCTGAGGTTCAGGCTGGGTCCAGAACAGGACTAGAAGAGTGGCTATATCACTGCTGACGTCAGCTGGATCTTGGCTCAAAGCAGAGAATACCAGAGAGACACTGGCTTGTATTTCATTGCCTATGCAAAGACATCCGACCATCGTGCCCACGTGTGGACCATAAACTGTGGGTAGTGCTGAGAGGAGTGGGAATTCCAGAACACTTCATTGTGCTCGTGCGGAACCTCCGTGTAGCTACGAGGCCGTCCTTCGAGCAGAGCCAGGGAAGGCTGCGTGGTTTAACATCAGGGAAGGTGAGTGTCAACGTGCATCTTCTCGCCGCACAGAATCCCTCTGTATGCTGAGCAAGTCACCAAGAATGGGGACCCTCTGAGGAGCAGGGCCTCGGGATTCCAGGAAGACTCACGAGCCGCCTGTGGCGTGCAGGTCCTGTGGCTTGCTGCACGGAAAGCACATCCCAAGGAAGATCAGCCTTCAGCTCCGAGGGACGCCCGACGTGAAGAAAACAACCCAGCAAAGGCCATCTTCGTCCCGGGTTTCATTCGACTTGGATCCACTACCGAGAGCAGCCAGCCGTGCAGCGGGCAGACCTGCTGCGGAAGAGATCTGTCTCTACACTGTCCCAAAGCACAGGCGTCGTGTGGGGGACTAAGGAGCGTGTGCCTGTTCCGAGCCGTGGGATTTTCAAACACCTCGTGGCGCGTGGAAGCCGGACAGCGGAAAAGCAAGACTGCAGAAGGATTGGCTGCCTGGGTGTCGGTGTCGGGGAAGAAGAGGAGAGGAAGTCCCCTGCTAGCCAGGAGACCAAGCCAGTCTGTCGTGGAAGAAGCGCAGCCAGAAGGCTCCTTAGAGGCAGGGCGGCGAGACTTGGTCTCGCACTTTGGGTGTGTGGTCAGGAGAGGCCAGTCCCAGGAGAAGGACACCGTGCTCAGTAAAGTAGAAAGCAAGCTACCATTGAGTCAATGCCTTAGAACGGTGGCACTGCCCCCTGTGGGTTTCCGAGACTGTAGCGCTGCACCACAAGAGAAAGCCCTGTCGGTCTCCCGAGTAGCGGGTGGTGGTTTCGAACTTCTGGCTCTGTGGATTGCAGCCCACTTGTAACCACCGCACTAGGGAAAGAGGAAGACCCTGAACGAGGGCTCCCGCAGTGGGCTCAGCCACAAGGACTGTGCAGACGGTGCAGGGCCAGGCAGGGTTTCCTTTGGCTGTGCACCCAGTCCCCGTGAGTCAGGACAGAGCGTGTCAACGCCTGACGGTTAGGGAGTCACTGAGCGGGACTGGGACCCGGTCTGTCTGCTGGCAGATCCATGCATTGGCTCCATTAACTTCAGCAGGAGCCAGGCCAAAGGGCCAGGCCAGTACTCTGGGGTGGGGGAGACAGGGAGGGGAGACAGGTGAGAGATGGCTGCCCCCTCCTGCTATGCCAGGACATGTGGCATAGCTGTGTGATGACAGCCCACCCTCACTGCCAGGCTGCTGGGCCTAGCTGTGCCTCAGTTTCCTGCCAAGGCAGAGCAGCCCTGATCTCCAGCCTGCCGGGGCTCCAGAATCACTGTTGGGGGTACCAAGGGGCCCTTCAGAGGCTCAGCTGCCTTCTCTGGTTCTGCAGGTGGGCAGGGACCTGGCAGGCCTCATCCAGGGGACCTGCAGGGCGGCCACCTCACCAGCATCCAGCAGAAGTCTTTAAGCTTTCTAGAGGCACTGAAGGTACGTCTAGTGCTCGTGTCCCCTGCAGACTGCCTTGCCCCTTGGGCCTCTGTGTTTGGGGGATGGGAGCCGGGGGGAGGGGGGCAAGAGGGACCCTTGGGAAAGCTGTTCCCAGGGGACCCTCAGGCCAGGTTCTCTGCAGCTGGACCACAGGGAGCAGGCCCAGGCGCTGGCCCTCCTGCAGCAGAGGGTGGAGCGTGAGATCAAAGAGACACAGGCCACTCTGGACAGAATGCTCCTCCCAGCCCCCCTGCAGGTCAGCAATGCCCTTTGACCTGGCCGCCAGGCCTCCCTTTCTCTCAGTTGTCCCCACAGACTGGGCCATTTCTTAGGAGGGAGGGAACAGGGTACACAGCCAAGACCGGGTAGTGGACCTGCCTTTGGCAGCAAGTAGTAGGGACCCACCTGCGCGGGGAGTGGTGGCAGGGTCCAGGCAGGACCACAGGGGACCTGTCCCAGGCTCACAGGGCCCCACAGCTGGACTTCCTACTGGAGCACACACCAGACAAGGAGGGGAGTTTCCCACATGGCCCCACCCACCCTAGCGCCTGCCCTGTGGGTAGCCACATGGATGGAGATGCCCCTGCGGAGGGCAGGACTGGGGCGGGGTGTGTGGGCTGGCCAGTTGCCTAAAGCCCCTCTGGAGGGTGAATCTCATCTGGGTCCTTGGTCCTGGTTCGTGGTGCGATGGGCTGCATCACAGCCCGTTCTGGAGGGGTCAGCCCCGGGAGTGTCTGTGTGCGTGTGTACATGTGCCCATGTGTTCATGCTGCATGTGCTATGTGGATTGTGCATGTGTGCACGTGTTCTCATGCTGTTCAAATGCATGTTGTGTGCGCATTTGTACACGTGCAAGTATATGCAGTGCACATGCATCCTGTACATGCGTGTGTAAAGTCATGAACATGTGTGCTGTTCATGTGTGGGGCATGCATGTGTACACTCATGCA